ACCAAACATTCTGTGGGAGAAAGATGAGGCTTTCTGCTCCCGTAAAGATTTTCAGCCTCAGGAACTCTATACAGGGTCACTATGAGTCAGAACTGACCCCACTGCACATAACCAGTTAACCAATCAATTTCTTTCAGCAGTGCTTTATAATTTTCTTTTTCTAGTGTCTATAATTTTCACTGTATGAGTTCTTCCTATCCCTGGTTAAATTTATTCCTAAATGTTTTATTCTTGCTAATATAAACAGAAGGAGCTCTGGTAGCATAGTGGTTACGAATCGGGCTGTGAACCGCGAGGTCAGCAGTTCGAAACTACCAGCTGTTCCACAGGAGAATGAAGAGGCTTTCTGCTCCCATAAAGATTTACAGCCTCAGAAACCCTGTACAGGGTCGCTATGAGTCAGAACCGACTCCACGGCACATAACAACAACTATAAACGGAATCATTTCCCTAAGTTCCCTTCAGATTTGCCATTCCTGATATAAAGAAATCCAACTGATTTTTGTTGATCTTGTACTCTGCAATTTTGTTTAAAATTTTTTAGCTCTGGAAGTTTTCTTGTAGACTTGAAATTTTCTGTATATAAGATCATACCATCTATGAATATAGATGGTTTTACTTCTTATTTTCCATTCTGGATAACTTTATTCTTTTTCTTGTCTTATTAATCTGTCTAGGACTTCAAATACAATACTGAATAGAAGTGGTAAGAGCAGGCTTCCTTGTCTTGTTCCTAGTTCCATGGGGAAAGCTCTCCATCTTTCTCCATTAATTATAATACTGGCTATTGGCTTTTTCAAATATACCATCAATTATATTGAGGGATTTCCATTCTATTCCAGTCTTCTTGAGGATTTTCATCATGAAATGGTGTTGAATTTCATCAAATGCTTTCTCTGAACCCTTAGAGATGCTCATGTGATTCTTTTCCGTTGTTTTATTTATGTGGTGGATTACGTTGAGTGAATATCTAATGTTGAACCATCCCTGCATTCCTGGAATAAATCCTGCCTAATCATGGTGATGCATCTCTTACTATGCTTTTGGGTTCTGTCCACCAGTATTTTGCTGAGGATTTTTGCATCTATATTCATAAGAGAGATGACCTGTAGTTTTATTTCCTTGTGACATCTTTACCTAGTTTGGGTTATATTATATTTGCTTCATGGAATGATTTAAGAAATATTCCTTTCTTCAATATCTTTTGCAAGAGTTTAAATAGGATTGGTGTCAATTCTCTAAAACGTTTGGTACAATTCCCCAGGAAAGCCATCTTGCCCTGGACTTTGTTGTTGTTAGTGTGGCTATTAGGAGATTTTTGATCCCTGATTCATTCTCTGTACTTGTTATGAGGCTGCTGAGACTTTCTATTTCCTCTCAAGTCAGTTTGGTTAGGTTGTGCACCTCTAAGAATTTGTCCATTTTACCTAGGCTAGCCAGTGTTCCACCATACCAGTTATCGATAACATTTTGTCATAACTCTCTTTAGTTTTATTGGGTCAGTTGCAGTGTCTCCTCTTTAATTTCTTATTTAGGTGATTTGCATCTTTTTTTCTTTTTTCTGTGTCAGTTTAGCTAAAGGTTTGTCCATTTTCTTTATCTTTTCAAAGAACCAACTTTTGGCTTTGTTGATTCACTTTATTGTTTTTCTGTTTTCTATTTTATTTATTTCTGCTCTGAATTTTGTTATTTCCTTGATTCTGGTAGATTTAAATTTAGTTTGCTCTTTTCTTTCTAGTTGCTGATATTGTTGATTTGAGGTCTCCCTCTTTTTTTCCATGTGGGTCTACAGAGTTCAGTACAGCAGCCATCTGAAGCCCTGGGTTTCTAGCTTGTATTCCAGAGAGTTGAGTGGTCTTTCCAAATGAGATGTTATTTCCTGCCAGCTCAGTTTTTCCAGTTTCCTGATTCTACTTCCTACTCAGAGTAGCAACAGCCCTGTCTACCAGTCCCACTGTGAGGACCTCCCAGTGTCCTGCTGTTGGAGATGCTGGCCATCAGAGCAGTTTATTGGAGACCTTGGTGTGTGGATTTGGTCTGCTGAGTAAGGAACAGAAATGTGTATACAGGGACAGGATTCTGGCAGAAATCTGCCTGGTCCATCCATGGAGAGACACAGGGGCAGGAAGGCAATGGTCTGGGATACTTGAAATGAGTTGCTGTGGAGTTATCTCTGACTCAAGGCAACTGCGCATGTTAGAGTAGAACTGTGATCCATGTGGATTTCAGGGGCTGACTTTTTGGAAGTAGATTGCCAGACCATTCTTCTGAGGTGTCTCTAGGTGGACTTGAATCTCTAACCCTTTGAGTAGCAGGTAAGGGTATTAATAATTTGCACTATTTAAGGACTCCTTGGGGGTACTTGAAAGGACCTTCAATGCCCAAAGACCCCTTCCCAAATGCTTCAGTGACTCCCCTCCTCTGCCCCTGGGTGACTGGTCGGTTTATGTGTCAATACATGAGGCACGGAAGTGGCTGCTAGAGTCTGTGCTGACTGTGAAACCTTCCTTGGTCTGCACGGCTACACAGTGCAGCCTGGAGACCCAGTCATCCACACAGGCTGAAGGGGTGAGAACCGGGTGGTTTCAGAGTCACTCTCTTACACAGTTATTATCACAATTGATTGCAAGGAATCCTCAGGTGTGAACTCCAGTAGGGAGAAAAGTATGTGTGGCAGATTGAAAACCTGCTCCCTACCCCCTTACCCTGTTCTGCTGATCCCCCTAGAGCCACTTGGAGTTTAACAGTTTCAGGAGAACGTACCCTCTTGATGTATAGGATGATTTTCCTCCTGTGGCATCTTTGTTCCTGCTGGGAGAGGGCAGGAGGGCTGGCTCCTTTGCCAGTTGGACTTTCCATCATCTCTTGTGGTAGGAGTTGGGGGTGCCTGGTTTTCCACAACAGTGCTGGTCTCTGGTCTCACTAACCAATGGGGTCCAGACATGGGCGCCAGGCAGGCCCAGCATGGGAGCCTGATGCTGGCTTCTCTTAAGTCTGATGAATGGAAGCAGGCGCCAAGCCTGGGCTTGAGGGAGAGGAGCTGGACAGAGTCTCTGGGGCGTATGCATCCTTTGCTACCGTGGCTCTGTGCAGCCTGGCTCTCTACCGCCGACTGGCTGGAGGGCTTGTAGGGCCCAGGAAGGAGACGGCAGTGCCTCTCCACCTCCAGGGGTGGTCACAAATGAGTGTGGGAAGCACTGTTCCTCTATATTCCTTTGACAACAGCTCCTTTGTGGGTTGTAGGTTGGCTATTCTGCTTCTGAGCAAAAAAGAATTGGTGGCTGAAGGGCATGGAGAGGCTGAAGTGATGAAAACTGGAGCCTGAATGAAACTCTATCCCAGCTGCTGGGAAGCAGTGCAGGGAGGAGCCAGAGGCTGGTTTACGGTTTCTGTACCCATTCCCTACTTCCCCAAGGCCTCTCTCTGCCTTGTGTGGCTAACTCTTGGTCCCTAGATGTTTGTTTATACATGCCAGCCTAACTCCAGACCACTACTATGCCCATTGTACTGAAAAAGAAACAGGTTTTAAGTTCTGGTGTGGCGCTGTAGGATAAGTACTAGACTGCTAACTGCAAGGTTAGTGGTTCAAAACCACCTATATAGGGTTGCTATGAGTTGCCATCAACTTGACGGCACTTAGCAACAGCAAGGGGTTACTTGACTTGCTGCCCTAAGCCACTTAGCTCAAAAGGAGCAAGAGCTGGGCTTTGAACCCACATCTCTGGTTCTCAGTAGCAGTGTTGCCGCACTACAGCAACATAATGCACTAACAGTGGCTTACTGCTTAATGTTTTCTCCTCTCGAAATTCGCTTCTCCTATCTGTTGTTGCTAAATGCTGTCAAGTGGGCTCCGCCTCATAGCGACCCTGTACAAGGTTTCTGTGGAGGGGCTGGTGAGCTTGAACTGCTGACCTTGTGGTTTAAACCGACCTTGCAGTTCAGCACATTAACCTGCAGCACCACACCAGGATTCCATATACAACAACATAATGGTTGCATAACTGTTTGTTCATCCATATGTGGACATTAAAGACCGTACTTTTAAATATACAGAATAATGTTACATGAAACAAGCAAAATATAAACAGTATTTGTTTTTAAAAAATAACCTACGCAAACACACACACATATGGACAGACAGAAGCACGTTAACTGTGGTTATATATCTGATGAAAATTGATCTGATTTTCTACATTGACTTTTTTTTTTTTTGTACTTTTCAGCATTTTTTTTATAGTGAAATGTAAACAAAGAACTGTAGAGTTGTTTGGTAATGGGGTGGGCATCCTCAGGTTCTTGGAAGTGGGTTAGTGGAGTACCATCTGCCGTGGATGCTGTTCAGGAGCAGGGAGTGGGTAGGACTGGATTATTTGAATTGTCCAAGGAACCATGGGACCTGCAGGGGAAAGAAATGAATCAGAGCATTGCTCCTGAAGTCACCTGGGGATTTGTTCAAATGTAGGTTCTGCTTCTTCACGTCTGAGGTGAGGCCTAAGATCACGCATGCCTAACAGGTTCCCAGGTGATGCTGTTGGGTCAAGGTCCAAGAGCAATGCCCCCCCCACACACACACACACTGGAATTTGCCCTGATACTGGCCCCATGCCTGAACATCCTAGGGCAGACAGATTCTTCCAGTAATCATTAGAAAGGTACACAGGGATGTTAGGGTACGTGACTTGAACCAGGGTTCACAGGGCTGGGTGATGTTCCTGGAAGAAACTTTTCAGGAAATAGAAAGATGCAAGTCATGGTCAGACTCCCCCAGATTCTGGCTTCATGGAAAGAACTTAGGGTTTGAACCAGACATTGCCTGTCTTGGTCTCAGTTTCTCCATCTGTAAAGTGGGACTAAGAATGCTGGTCTGATAAAGTCATAGTAAAGATGAAATAACAGATTGATTTGACAGCGGTGGGTTTGGCCAGCGCAGTATGTGGCACATGGAAGGTCCTTATTAAGCGCCTGTTTCCCCTTAAACTGTGTTCTCTCTCTCTTTCCAGGTAGATGAGATATACCACGATGAATCCCTGGGGGTCCACATCAACATTGCTCTTGTTCGTTTGATTATGGTCGGCTACCGCCAGGTACTACTACACCTTTACAACAGGTGGCAGACGGGTGTGGGGCCAGGGCATCACTAGGGATCAGATCCCCTGGACCTTCGAGGCTTCAGTGGAGGAGACCACTGGGGGTTGGTAAGTGGGGGCCATGGGTGCCCTCTAATCTGAGGAAGTGATGGTCTATGCCCTTAAAGCTGGAAGTGCCCTCTCCTTGAGAGATGGAGGGGCACCCAGGAGACAAGCCCTGTTTTGGTTCAGCCCTGGCCCCTGGGGTCTGCAAACTTAGACCAGTTACTTATTGTCTCCCAGATGGGAGTGACAACAGAACTTTCCTCTAAGGGCACTTTCGAAGATCCACTCAGACAGTGAAGGTCAAGTATCAGCACAGAGGAAATGCCCAATGTTCTCTTGTTATTCACAAAAGTGTTTTGTCTGTAACAACACCTGCCTTGAATGTTAGTCCAGGGGATTTGAAATAACACCTGTGGAGTTCCAGGCAGACACATGTGCTTGGTGCATGAATGTTCAATACTTGTTCTCTAAAGTAGGGAGGACTGTGTGGCAGCAGCCAGGGTCAGGGGTCAGGACAGGCGGGAGACCACAGCGGCCTTGGTGTGCTCATCTGTAAGTGAGCGGAGTGGGCCTTGGGTGCCCCCTGCCATCAATGGGGTCTCTGACTGCTCCTCCCCAGTGCTGATCGCTCCCTGGTCCCTGCAGTCCCTGAGCCTGATCGAGCATGGGAATCCCTCACGTAGCCTGGAGCAGGTCTGTCGCTGGGCACACTCCCAGCAGCGCCAGGACCCGGACCATGCCGAGCACCATGACCATGTCGTCTTCCTCACTCGGCAGGACTTTGGGCCCTCAGGTATGCAAGGTAGTATATTAGCCAGGACCAAGTGCCGGTCACCTGCCAGGCCAGGGTGGAGGCTTGGGACTGGGCCTGGGCATGGGCATGGTGACCTCTCTCTGGAGTCCACTTAGGGAGGTTTGAGGGTGGGAACTTTGGGGACAGGACATGGATGGACAGGTGGGTGGGCTTTGAAATGCCTTCTTGGGGACCAAGGGGAATGAAGAGGCCCCCACTCTGGCCTTTGCTGGCTTGGCCAAGCCTGGAGACAGCTGTGAATGGTCAAGCCTTGGGTCCCGAGCCCTAAGCAGTCTTCAGGATTACTCCTTTTCACAGCGTGTCCATCTGTCCTCGTCGCAGCCCATGGTGTAACTAGGATGAGGCTTGTGTGGGCTGTCTCCAGCTCTAGCAGACCCCATCAACCCAGTCTGCCAGGATCCCCTGGAATCCCCTGGACTCCCAATTCTCCCAGCTGTTGAGTGAGCAAGCAAATAATGGTTGCCTCCTCCATTCCAAGGCCACTGGGAGGCCAAGGACTGCATGAGGTGTCTGTGACAGAGTGTTGATAGCTCTCAGTCCCTATGATGCTGTGATCACCCCCAGCTTTCCAACTGGAGAAACTGAGGCACCGAGTGGTACAGTGGCTTGTTCATGCCCTATAACAGAGTAGAGACAGGTTTGAGGCTCAAACTCAGATAGCTAGGATCCCAAGCTGAGGGTTTTCTGCTTTATTCTGGTCTGATGATGGGCAGTCATGCCTCTCTCCAAGGGTTCCTTGTTTAAATCACTGAAACTGTAGTACACGCAGACATATATATGCCCCCACACAGAGATCTGTGCATGCACTCGCTTCAAAAGTACAGCAGATCCCAGATCTCTAGGATAATAGAGGCTCCTCATCATATAACCCCAAGCCATCTCAAAGCATAGAACATTTCAGCAACTCTGAAGGCAGGGAATGCTCTCTACTGTCACCTCAGAGGTGATATCTGCAGGACCCTCCTGAGTACATCCCCATCTCCTAGCCCAGAAGGGGAGCAGGCCCCTTGGAACTGCCTAGCTCACCATATCTGCTCAACCCCACAGCTCTGCCCCCAAAGACCCACATGCTCATGCCCTAATCCTAGAGAGTTGTCTCACCTGCACTCAAAGCCCAGCTTCCATGCCCCCAATAAGTCACTCTCTGATCCCCCGCAACTGCTTCAGTAGGAATCATTCCCTCCTCCACGTCCCTCCCATATGCTCCATTTTCCTCCTGGAATTCCAGCCTTTCTGGCTGACACCTAACCCTGGCTAAGCCATGCTCACCCTTTCTACAGGAGTGTTGACTTAGAGGCGCTGTCCCTCTATTACCGGACACAGCACTGCCCTCCCCTAGGATAGAGCTTGGTTGTTGACTGACTGACTGACTGACTGACGGACTGACGGACTGACTGACGGAGGGTCTGGCTGGCTGAGGGACATGGTGGGAAGTGCTACGTGCAGACTCAATGCACTGCTGCCATGAGACAGGGGCCGGGAGACACTGGGAAGCCGCTGGCCCAGAGGAAGCCATGAGTTTTAGGAGGTGGGGGCGGCTTGACCCAGGTTTGCTATATGTCCACCTGGGACTTTGTAAGTGCCCTTTCTCCTCCCTGGATCTCCCAGCAGCATCCAAGCTCAAATGTGCCTGCAGTGGTCCAGCTGAGCACAGCCTCCAGGAGTCTTCCCTCACTTCCCATGATCTCTGTGTGTTTTTACCTTCTTCCCACAGGGTATGCCCCCATCACTGGCATGTGCCACCCCCTGAGAAGCTGTGCCCTCAACCATGAAGATGGCTTCTCCTCTGCCTTCGTAGTGGCCCATGAGACTGGCCATGTGTAAGTGGCACCAGGAAGTGGGCAGGGCTGATGGCCTTGTGACTTTGGGCTGTGCCATGAGCTCTGAGGAAACCTATAGGTGTGGAAGGGATTTACTTCAGACTAGGCTCTGGTCCCGTGTCCCGGGAGATGCCAGAGGGTCTGGCCTGCTACCCACTAGGAAGGCTTTGCCCAGTACTGCCCTGACGGGGAGGGAGTCGGGAATGTGGGACGGTAATTCTGGGTTCTCCTTGGGCACAGTGTCCCAACGCCTTGCCCCCATCATAGGCATGTGTCTGTTCTCTCTGGGTGGTTCCCATTCCTGGCCTCCCTTCACCCTGTCCATCCTGTCCACATCTCAAGGCCCTTCTGAGCCTCGTTCCAGCCCACATCAGCACTCAGCATGCCCTGTGGGGGATGCTGGCCAGAGCCCATCCCAAACATGCGCACTTTGCGTTCAGGCAGCAGCCAGGCAAAGGCTGGCTGGGCCCATCCCAGGCTTGGGTTTTGTTTATAGCACACTTATCCATTCATTCAGTACATATTTATGGAGCACCGTGTGCCAGGCCCTGGGCTAGGCCTTGGGCTTCACTGGAGGACAGAACAGAGCCCTTGTCTTCCAGAAGCTATGCCTCAGTGGGGAGGATGGGGGTAAACAAATAATAAAGCCCCCTAGTGTCTCATGTACTTTGGACATGTTATCAGGAGGGACCAGTCCCTGGAGAAGGACACCGTGCTTGGTAAAGTGGACGGTCAGCAAAAAAGAGTAAGACCATCAAAGAGACAGATTGACGCAGTATCTAAAACCATGGACTCAAATACAGGAATGATTGAGCACAGAGCAGGACAGGGCAGTGTTTTGGTCTGTTGTACACAGGGTCACTATGAGTTGGACCCAACTTGAGGGCACCTAACAACAACAATATCAGTACTACATGTTGCTTCCAGGTCCTGTCTGTCACCAGGGGCAAGGCTAAAGGACATACCCCTCCAGCCCCCTGTCCAAGCCCACCAGCTGGAAGGAGCTGAGGAAAGGAGGGGAGAAGGAGAACTGAGATGGTGGTCTGCTGTCTGCCTCATTTTAGCTCTGTCAGCATAAGGCCCTTCGGACTTGACCTCAGCCTGGCCCTCAAGGGCAGTGGGCATCTTTTTGTCCTGGGCCTCAGGTCCCTCATTCATGATATGGAGGCTAGCACCAGGAACCCTCTGAGGTCCCTTACTGTAGTAGAACTCTATGTTTCCGCAGATTCCTGGTACCAGGAGCTTGCCAATTCTGATGGGGAGGAGTCCACTCTTCACTGAGGCCCCTCTAGAAGTTTTATTATTAATGAAACACAGCCTGGTCCTGCACCATCCCCATGATTGGTTACGGACTGGACCATTAGGATCCATGGGGTTCCATTGGCTGAAAGTAATCACCAGGGAGTGGAGAGCCAGGAAGTAGAATGCCAGACCTTTCTCCCTAGTCTTAGTCTGGAAGCTCCACTGAAGCTTGTTCAGCCTCGGAGCACCGTGCTGGCGCCTCTCAGAGATGAGTGGGGGCTGCATAGGAGGTGCCTTGGCTGGAACTCAAACCTGGGGCTCCTCCAGGAAGCTGTGAATTTTGCCACTGCCCTCTTAGTGGTCAAGCCCCAGACCAGCTGCAGTCACCTGGGAGAATTTAAGGATTTAGAACCTTTCAGTATTGGTTCTACATTGTCATATATGAAATATGAAAAGCAACCCACCCCCTCTTCTCTAGGCAAAAGTTAACATTTTTGTCTTTTATGCCTTTCTCAACACAGGAGAAAATAAGTATATTTACATCGTTGTTGTTATTAAGTGCCGTTGAGTTGGTTTTGACCCATAGCGATCCTGTACAGGGTTTCCGAGGCTGGAAATCTTTACAGGAGCAGAACGCCTCATCTTTCTCCCGCGGAACAGCTGGTAGTTTCGAACTGCTGACCTTAAGGTTTGCAGCCCGATTCATAACTACTATGCTATCAGAGCTCCTTACATACCCTCATATTGACCTTACATACCCTCATACTGACCTTACAACCGCAAGGTCAGTAGTTCAGACCCACCAGCCTCTCCTTGGAAACCCTATACAAGATCACCATGAATTGGAACTGAGTTGATTAACAACAATATAAATATATAATATCTATACATTGATGGTTTTGAACAAAAATTTTGATTGTCACCTACATTCACTCACCTATGTGGTATACATCTTTTCCCACATGAGCGTCATTTTAATGGTTGCAGTTTACTGCTTAATGTGACTGCTTAAAGTAACTGCTTCAGTTACTGCATCACTAAGTTATCGAGCCCTCTGACTTTTTAGTTTTTAATTTAATTTCATTTATTTAGTGGTTTATTTAGTTTTCTAGTATCTCCCAGGAGTCCAGGGTCACTAGGAGTAAACGGACTCAATGGCACTTAACTACAATTGCTCCCTATTAGAAACAGTGTTGCCATGATGAATGTCCTTGTACCTAAATATTTTTTCTTTATTTGTATTGTGGTAAAATATGTATAACAAAATATTTACCATTTCAGTCATATTTACATGAACAGTTCAGTGGAAGACCAAACCTTGTCCTTTAAATCAAGGGCCTCTGACCAGTTCTTCCCAATTCAGTCATTGGCCGACAAAACAAAACCGGATTGGATCCGAATTTGTAAAATGTAGGTACACTGGGATGATAACTAAAATAGGAAAAGTGAGGGGTTGATGTCCTGTTAGAAATGGACTCTCTCTCAGGAAGCAGGACTGTGGACTCCCTGTATAACAACCAAATCTCTTAATCAGCCGAGCAGAAACAACAGTGTCCCACTCAAAGATGGTGGCTGGCTGTACCACTTTGAGTTGTGTTTTTCTCCACAGTCCTGGCAATAATCGTATCTCCTGAATCAAGCTGCCACCACATTTTCGGAGTCTCTCCTTTCAGGACTTTGACTCACAGTTCTTCCCATTTTGGTTCTCACACTGGCTCACCCAAATTTTAAAACTTGAAGTCTCTTCTGATTTCACTTCATCAACCATGACTGAGTTCAAACCAGTTCAGCGCCTGTTTAAACCTTCATTTTTAAGGTGACCACATGCAAAGCTTGTCTTGGGATCTTGGAGAAGCTTAAGAGGCTGGCCCACAGAGGCACTCAGTCAGTGGCACTGAGTTAGATAAATAAGACTCCATCCTTGAAACTAGGCCTTTGGGTCTTGTGGGAAAATAACACATTGAGTTGTTCCTGTTGAGGACCACCCACAAGTGGGCAGCCAGGGAGGACTTGTGCTGGCCTTGCCTGTTCTGATACTGTGAGTAAGGTTTGAGGAGAAGAAGGGCCCCCTGGGTGTGGAAGACAGCCAGTGCAAAGGCTTAGCGGGCAGGAAAAGCCCAACCCCACAGGGGCAAAGGGCACCTTCAGTATCTACTCACAGAAGAGAGAGGAATGATCTGGGGACTAGGACCTGAGGCACAGTCTGAACCCACAATCAAGGTGGGTCTCCCTGTGCTGGCCACTTGCCTGTCTTCCTAGGGTGGGCACCCAGGTGGAGACTCAGGCTACCCCTATGACACCCTTCCTCCTTTCCAGGCTTGGCATGGAACACGACGGCCAGGGGAATGGCTGTGCTGACGAGACCAGTCTGGGTAGTGTCATGGCGCCCCTGGTTCAGGCAGCCTTCCACCGTTTCCACTGGTCCCGCTGCAGCAAGCTGGAGCTCAGCCGCTACCTCCCGTAGGTCATGCCCCACCTGCACATCCGTCCATCCACCCCTGCCTGACCTGACCCTTCTGTGATTCCTCTTACCCCCAACACCAGACTGGCCTAAAATAACCCCTGTAGTTTGCCAGGTGGCTTAGCCTAGGGCTTCAAAGTGTGCTCAGCTGGCATAGACTTCTTATGAAAAATTCAAGATGCTAAAGTAGACTCAGCCAGGGTTGGACCTGGGAATCTGGATTCATCAAACTGTGCAGAAAATACTCGTGCACACTGAAGTTGAAGAGTCACTGGGCTGATGGTGGGGCACCACTGTGTCCCCAAAACCCCAGAGAAGAGGCCTGTCCCTCCTCACCCCACTCCCCTATCTTAATACCAGCATCACAACCCAGTTCTCAGCCATTCTAACTGCCTTTGGGATCTCTAAGGAAGTGGAGGTACAGGACAAGTTTTAGACTCAGGAACCTGAAAATGAACACCAGACTGGATTGAGGAGGTGGGAGAGGAGGCTAGGATGGAGGCGGTAGCAACCAGAGCACTTGCCCAGTGTGTCTTCTGAGTGGGGACTGACTTTTCTTCTCCCCTCCCTGCAAAGCAGGTCCTCAAATTATCCATGAGGTGGCACTTTATCTTGGCCATATTGGGATGCTCTGATGTAGACAAAACTGACCCCCTAGGACAGCTACACGAACTCCTGGTGTGGCTCTGTAGGATCAGCCCTGGACTGTGAACCACAAGGTTGGCAGTTTAAACCCACCAGCTGCTCCTCAGAAGCCCTGTACAGGGGTGGTTATGAGTCAGAACAGACTTGACAGCATTTAGCAACAACAAGAAGATGGCGTTGCATGCTGAGCGTCGCCCTAGTTCCTGGGCACACCACCAGACCCAGGACTGAGGGAAGCAAGGTCCTGAGTGTGTGTGAGGACAGCCAGCTACTGGACACAGTCCAATGGCTGCAGGCTCTTTCAGGCCTTCTTCCTTGGTCATTAGAACCCCCAGCTCACAGGAAGGGAGACCTTGGGAGTAGCTGCCCTGTGCCTGGCTCACCCCTATGTCTGCCAGCAGCTCCTATGACTGTCTTCTGGACGACCCCTTTAAGCCGGCCTGGCCCCAATCCCCTGAGCTGCCTGGCATCAACTACTCAATGGATGAGCAGTGCCGATTTGACTTTGGCACCGGGTACCAGACCTGTGCAGCGGTGAGTGCCCCCAGTCTCTGCCAGGCCAGAGTACCAAGGTGGTATCCTGTGGTCAGGCTGAGCAACCACAGAGCACCTTCTGCCCAGTTGGCCTGTTGGCCTAATGATGAACTGGCCAAGCACCCTGGGGAGATGCAGGGTGGGCAGGTCCCAGCTCCCTTCTGTGCTCTGTCCAGGTGCACCAGGGGGTGGAATGGACCAGCATGCACAATGCTCAGAGAATGCCATTGTCCTGGGAAAGATGGGCACTGGGCAGGACAGAGTTAACTGAGGGGCGCCTGGCTGGGTGGGTAACTTATCTGCGGAGCAATCTGAATTTAGATCAGGTGCTGGGCTCTGGTCTGGTAGAGAAATCATTCCTACCACCTGACGTTTCTGTAGGAAGTTTGGGCTAATTGCCCTCCGCAGTTAAATTGGCCTCTCTCTGGGGCGTCAGCGTCAACTCCACGGTCCATTCCATGCCTGGGGCCATAGATACCAGGTAACACAGTCCTGTGTCCACTCTGGAGGCAGGCATTGAGTCTGACCATAAGCTAGACCTGACTGAGGCTCGCGGGCTGAGCTCAGAGAAGGGACATCTGTGGGAGGAGGCAGGCCTTGGTGACAGTTTGACTCCTAACCTGGGAGGCCGTTGGGTTCCGTGAGGAGCCTGCCACCTAGGCCACGCTGGGACACATGGTGTGACAAATCACTGCTTCAGGGTGGAGAAACAAGCTGGGCCTGGGTTTAAACGTCCAAATGCTGGCATGGCTGGCGTGGTATCAGAGGAGAGTATTAAGGCGGTTGAGGCGGTCCTGGACAGTCTGACAGGTAGGTATGTACCATCAGTTGTGAGCGCTGAGACTGGCAACCCAGTCCCTCAGTGTCTCCTCCACCCCCACAGGGGTCAGGGGACCCCACTTGGTGACAGTGTAGAAGGGCTTCTGCACAGGTAGGGCTTGGGGAAGGGATGGGGCAGTTTGGGCTATAGCTGATCCCTTCTCATCCAAAGGAGGAAGGGTCGCTTTAGATGATAGGCACTTGGGATAGAGTCGAGTTTGAGGGTGGGGGGCGCTGGTTGTTGGGCCCTTGCTGCCTGCTTCACAGCACCCCAAACTTTCTCATCACCACCCTTTACCCTAGTGGCACCTGGCTAGAGCTGGTGAGCCAGTGCAGCCTGGTGACCCCGGTTCCCTTGTCACACAGTTCAGGACCTTTGAGACTTGTAAGCAGTTATGGTGTAGCCACCCGGACAACCCGTTCTTCTGCAAGACCAAGAAGGGGCCTCCGCTGGATGGCACGGAGTGTGCACCAGGCAAGGTACCTGTGGTGTGGCAGCTGCAGCAGGGGGCCTTCCTGGGGTGTGTGTGGATGTGGGGTGGTGGGGGCGGTGCTGAAGGATAGATGAGTGAATTCCACATGAACTCATATGCTTCTGCCTGCTCTCCTTTAGCTTAATGCCACAATCCTTTGCCAAGTTTGACATTTCTTTTAGGCCTTTTGGTAGGAATGCCTACTCCCATTTTACAAATGGAGAGAATGAGGCCCAAAGAGTTAAAGAAGGTCAGGAGTTCCAAGGTCACGGAACAGGGAGTCAATAGCAGAAAAGGGTTGGAGGGAAGAATCCACGTGACCTGCCAATTCCACCCCCCCACCCCATTCTCATGCTGTGTTGGTTTCTCCCACACACGTGCACCCTCCCAACCCCAAAACACACACAAATTTGCCCTATCACTACTCCCTGGAAAGTGCTTACTCATGAATATGTGAGTGCCGGGGCTTCATTTACCAGGAGGTCCTCGTGGCTGGGAGCCCTGAGCTAGGGTCCAAATCCTACCATATTGCCGGTCCTGTTCTTGACCACTGTGTGGTGACATTGGGCCAGTGCTTGGACTGCTCCAGCCCCACGGAGCCCTGGCATGACCAGGCATCTTTGCATCTCTCTCCTATTCAGAGGCGAGGTAATAATTGGGCATAAGCTGTGTGAGCCCAGCCACAGCTAACTGGAGGAGTTGATTCTGCTCCTAGCCTGCCCTCTGCCCTCATCACAGGCACATTCCTCTCCTGATTACCTGGATGAGAGTTCCCTGTGGGAGCCCTTCACCTGGCCTTGCCAAAAGACAAGTTACACCTGCACAGCTGTGTAGACGTTTTAAGATCCCCCCCACCAACTCCAACCCTTTCAGAGCTCCAGGCTCCACCTGTCACAATTTCACATAACAGCTCATCAGAGACTCAGTTTTAGCTACAGATGAGAATCATCTGGACTGCTTTAGAAGTCTCCACCCCTAGAAAAGGAGTGGCTGCCAGTGGATGTGAGGGATCTTTTGGGGGTGATGGAAATATTCTATATTTGGATGGTGGTGAGTACATTTACTAAAAATCCTTGAACTGTACACTTATTTATATGAGTGAATTTTATGGTATGTAAATTAGACCTCTTTAAAGCTTTTTGGAAAAATCCCTACCCCTAGAGATTTGCATTAAATTGGTCTGGGGTGAAGGCCAGGCATCTGGAGTTTTAAAAGCTCCCAAGGTGATTCTGAGGTTGAGCACCTCGGAATTAATATTGGAAGGCCCCAGATAGTTTCTGCTGTTTTGTCTTTCCTGTTGCCCTGAAGGAAAAGGGAGGGGAGCTGACTTTGCTTGAGGCCTACTTTGAGCCACACGCTTTGTGGGTGCTGTTGCCTTCAGCTCTTAGAACAGCCACATTTAAGGAGCCCTGGTGGCGCTGTAGAATAAGCACTGGACTGCTAACTGCAAGGTCGTCAGCTGAAATCCGTCAGTGCGCCGGTAAAGATTTGTAGTTTCGGAAATCCTCTACAGGGTTGCTCTGAGTCTGAATTTACTCGACTGTTTAACGAGAGTGTTGATGTGGTGCTGTGGGTTAATGTACTGGTTAATGTCAGGTTGGTTTGAGCTGCAAGGCCAGCAGTTCAAGCTCACCAGGCGCTCCTGGGAAATCATATACAGGGTCACTATGAGTTGGAACCAACTCGATGGCACTTAACAGAAACAACAAACTGAGACTCAGGAAAGTGAAGTAAAATACACCACAAGGACTGAGTTGGAACTCAAATATAACTCTATCTTGAGATGTACATTCCCTCCCCATACAATAGACTTGGCTCCCAGTGGCTTTCGGAAGGTAATTTAGAGATAAGGGAACCCAGACCAACTCTTGTGAATGCAGGAAGATTGCTTTCCTCCCTCATTAGCACTTCCTTCCACTCTCCCAAGATGCTGAACCAAATCGTTGTTGTTGTTGTTGTTGTTAAGTGCCATCGAGTCGGGTCCAACCCATAGCGACCCTGTACAGGGTTTCCGAGGGTGTAAATCTTTACGGGAGTAGAA